AATCTGTATTGTTTAATACATGTGAATATTGAGCCTAAAGCACTGTATTGATCAGTTTGATACAGATACATATATAGTTGCACCTCTAGTTGACATTTATACATTTTTAAATCCCAAACTTCATTTATTTTGACTGCAGTAAAAAGTTGGAGTAGAAGTAAACAATACAACACAGGAAAGGCCATAAATGACCCTGAAGTTCAAACTTAGAATGTCATATTGCGCAATAAATTTAAAAAATTGTTTCATTTTTGTAATATTCTGCTTATAGRTTCTAAAAATCTATCTTTGTTGTGACACTGTTATAAAATTACAGGGCAAGAAACACAAGTGGTCACATGACAAGACWTTTTTTTCAGACTTCCTGGTTAATGGTGATAAAAGGTTATTTAATTGAGTAATAAAACAAACTTTTGTTTACACTATAGTTCAAAGAGCAACGCCTTAGGCCAAGTTTTAATTAYCCAGCATGCTGTGTTGTGCCTGAATACACTGCTGCTGGTGATGCCGCCACTGTTCCCCTTCACAATAAAGCACATATCAGATGTGCTGCTCACAAACAGCTGATGTGCTCAAGTTGTTTTTTGCTCCTTATTTGGTGATTTGAAGCAGTTTTTTTGTGATATTATAAAATGACTGAGATTGAAATAAAACCAGACTCACTTTTTAAATTACTTTTTGTGCAAAACATTTTCGTTATCAGGTTCGTTATTTCGGCAAATCAGGCGTATGATTGATGGTAATTTTGTCTATTATAGTCATCAGATTTTATCCAGAACTTACACTATGACAAAATACGTAAAGGAAAAAAAAATATTTGAGTAGCACAAGTTAGCATCGTCAAACAATAATTCTTTATTTTCTCTCCTGTTTGAAAAGACTAAATTAAACTGAGATTCTCTTGGTCTTTTAAGAGAAATGTTGTTGTTTTTTTTATCCAAGGCTTGTTCCTGATGAAGCCTTTGTTCTGATAGAGGCTGAAATTAAAAGTTTTTTATTTCATTTTTCTCTTCTCTCTTTTCAGTCCATTCGCTGCTGAAGTCGGCCTTCAACACCGTGGCCATAGAAAAAGAAAAGATCAAACAGATTCTGTCTGAGCAGGAACAGTCCGACCAGTCAGCGCAGATCAGCTCTCTCAGGAAGTCTCTGTCTGTGGTAACGCAACCATTTCCCATAATGCCCCTTTTATCCCACTGTTCTTAGTTAACCTGATAAATCTGGTCACTTTCATCCTATAAATTCTAATGACTGGACATTAGAGGGAGGAATTACTACTATAAATTAACCAGTGTCTTTGGAAATCCATTCCTAGTCACCATTAAATGAGTTGTGTTCATGATGACACACAAGCTGCAGTTTATTTAAAGCAGTCACAATTATCTGAGCTAAAATAAAAGCAAAGATGAAAGCAGAAGCGAGGGAGTCATGATAGCCCAATCATCTTTTCCTGTATTAATTGGTGATGGAGAGAACCAGGCAGTGCAGTTCATTAGCTGAGCTCCTGAGGGCTGTCTCTTTCTACATCGGTGACTTAATTGGACCGTTCCTCTGCTAACTGTTGACGTATTTGTCATGAAACGTTTCATTCTACGCTTTGTCTTCGTTATGTTTTTAATTGGATGTTGATGTGACACGGTTGTCTCCAGTTTGAGGTCAGCTTTTGCAGAGAAGCTCTGTGGGAGGTTGATAATCAGGGGGTTGGTGTTTCTATAGAGACAGCTGCTCAGGTTAGCTGCTTGAATCCCTGCAGGTTATATCTGAGGGATGTTTTTTTTTTTCACACTATTATTTCTTTTGTGTGTTTATCACAGATAGGTACACTAAATACAGTAAGATGYTGCAACATGCTGCTTTTATGTAGTTATTTTTAATCTGTCAGTGTGTTGCATCTTTTTTTATTTTTTTACACGCAAAGTTACTGAGCCACACCAAAGGGAGTTATTCTAACAAAGTTTTTAAGAGCTCAGCAGAGTTTTTTTCTTCTGCTTTTCTACCCATATAGCACAAATCTTCTTGTTAGATTTTTTTATCATAACATTTTGTCTGCGACAAATAAACATTTTTAAAGGACAGTTCAGATCTATTGAAGTAGAGGGGTGCTATGCAAAAGTTATTGTAAATTATTTCAGTTAAAGAAGGTTATGCAGTTTTTACAAGTCATTCAGTGTTGGGATTTTCAAATATCCATCCATCCATTATCTTCTGYTTTATCYGAAGTCGGKTYGCGGGGGCAGCAGCTTGAGCAGGGAAGCYCAGACCTCTCATTCCCCAGCCACCTCTTCCAGCTCTTCTGGGAGGACTCCAAGGSGTTCCCAGGCCAGCCTAGAGACATAGTCTCTCCAGCSTGTCCTGGGTCTTCTACGGGGTCTCCTCCTAGTTGAACATGCCTGAAGCACCTCCCTAGGGAGATGTCCAGGAGGCATGCTAACCAGATGCCCAAACCACCTCAAMTGGCTCCTCTCGACGTGGAGGAGCAGCGGCTCTACTCTGAGTCTCTCCCAGATGATTGAACTTCTTACCCTCTCTCCAAAGGAGAGTCCAGCTACCCTGCGGAGAAAACTCATTTTGTCTGCTTGTATCCGCGATCTTGTTCTTTTGGTCACCACCCAAAGTTCATGACCATAGGTGAGGGTCCATTCTTCCCTCACTTGTAAACAAGACCCCAAGATACTTGAACTCCTCCACTTGAGGCAGAAATTCACCCACAACCCGGAGAGAGCAATCCACCCTTTTTTCGACTGAGGACCGTGGACTCAGATTTGGTGGTGCTGATCCTCATCCCAGCCACTTCACACTCAGCTGCTAACCGCTCCAGTGAGAGCTGAAGATCCTGGCGTGATGACGCCAACAGAACCACATCARCCCTTTAAACCTCAATTTGTTTGTCTTTTGGAAGCAAAGTGCTACCATTATAGAAGTAAAACTGCTACCACTGTAGGTTATTTATTATTCATTTTGGAGTCACATCTCCAGACACTTGAATTATTTCAGGTATTAAAATTTCTCTTTTTCAGTCTTTTTTTTTTTCAGTACAATTTTGTGATCCTAGAAATTAAAATGGCAATTTTTTCCCCAAAACAAAAAATGAAAATCAAATCTTACTTTAGAGTTCTATTTCAGGTGCTTCAACAATAAACTGAAGTGGTGCATGATTAGAATATACTGCAGAAGGTTAACGGTTCAAATCTTTTTTTTTTCTAATAGTTTATAATTTTTTTTTAATATTCAGACCCTCTCTCAAAATGCCGAACTCCGAACTCGCCTCAACCGCATCCACTCTGAGTCCATCCTGACCGAGCAGGTTGTGAGTGTGAACATCATCGCCACGCCTGACGAGGTAGGTCACCGCTGTCGGTCTGTCTCTGGCAGCTAATTTCTTTCTGCTGATATTGAATAAAACCACGTCTTCCAAGGCAGCTCGCATATTTGTAGTGTTTGCTTCCCGTTGTTGTCAGTCACGTCATTGATTCCTGTCCTAATGACGTAYGGTCTCTTCGATACACCCCGGCAAGTCCGCCTTAAGGAATATAATTCTATGCAGAATCTGACGCCAGGGTTAATRGAGAAAATATTGACTAATATGAAATGAACTCAGCTGTTAGTGTGGATACACATGTAGTCAAACGAACTCTGTGTTGCCCTCCGGGGCTGTTTCTGTTTCTGTTTGCTCAGGTCCGTTCAGATCCCTAAAAATCTATCATCATACTGAGAAACGGTGAACATTTGCTGTGTTTGCTTGTGTCTGCCTGCAGGCCGTGGAACAGATGGGGATCCCTCTGACTCAGCAGGCCTCTAATGAAAGCCGACTCTCCATGTCAGAGTCTGTCTCTGAGTTCTTTGATGCGCAGGAAGTGCTGCTGTCAGCCAGCTCGTCAGAGAACGAGGTAAAACAGAGAGAAGCCAAGGTTTAAAGAAAATACGGCTGTTCAGACCGTGAGGTAAATTAACTGCGGGTTTAAATGAAAGGCCGAACATCTCTTGGAGGATGGTGTCGTTCATGAACGAGGTTGAAACTAAGATCATGTTGAAAAATTGAGAGTTGTGCCCTTTTTTTAATTAAAGCTTAAAAAATAAAGCTTATACAACACCACAAGATCATATATGATCTGTTAGCGCTCAGAGAAACGACCAATGGCGGCAAAAACTAAGGATTATTTCTTTGTTGTAACAATGCTTCTCAGCAATAAATCTTATATGGGGCATTTGCTTGGCAGCACCTGGGGGGTACCAGAAGCTCAAAGCAACAATAAAATAAGTTTGACAGAAAACGTTGCATGTTTTTCATGTGTGAAACCCATATACTGAGCTCTACTGCTCATCCTACAAATGCATGTTCCTTACAAATGTGGCATTGTTTAAAAGGGAAATCAACAGACTTTCGAATGGTATAAGATTATTGCCAAGAAGTATTGTTACATCAAAGAAATCATCTATCAAGCACAAATCTCCTTATGTTTTGTGCTAAGTTTATAATAAAGCACTGCAGATTGGATTCCAACAACAGAAGCGTCCAATTTGAAATAAAGAAAACTTGCTATAAATTGACATTATGTCCTTTTTCAGCACAGACAATCAAACCACCACCATTAACCAAGCTTACACAAAGCCTCTGTCAATTGTCCAATACTTAATTCCCCTGCATTAAAGGCACAGTGTGTTGGATTTTGTCAATTCTTTTAGCCGAAACTGAGATAATCACTAATGACGATAATAAAAGCGTGTCTAATAATTGCAGACGAAGACCTTGTTTTATTATTTTTACCTTATAAAAAGCTGYTTATATCTCCATGGTCGCGGGTCACCACTACAGGCAGCCACCATCTTGCACCGCCATCTTGTCTACGAAGGCTCATGAAGGACAAACTGCGGTGGCGGCATCAAAAACGGTTTTAGTTGTAATACTATAARTGTAATATTTGTTGTCTGTCATTGTAGCTGGGATAATTTTACTTATTAAAGCTCATA